TATATATATATATATATATATATATATATATATATATATATATATATAAAATGAAGTAGTTGGAGTAGATCACCTCTGAAGTGTATTCCAACTGGTCCTTCAACCTCCCACCCTGGTCTTCCTTTCTCTGTTATTACCATGACCATTCTAGTTCGTAATGTTCAATTTGTCCTCAGAAACTATAAAAATTATTCTTTGTACCATTCCTACCAAAATCCTACCAAAAAATTTTGAGTTCTTAAAGAGAGTATAAAATGAACCAAAGTGCTGTGCTACCTCTTTCTATAGCAAAAAATGACGGAAAAGGCAAAGAGTGCTCAGAAATTCCTAGACCTTCTACAAACACTCATTTAACCATTGATGCTTCCAGTAGGTGATTGATGTGTGGCCATTAAGTTGATATACTACTGTAGGAACTGGAACGTATCCATAAAAGCGTTCCTGCTATATAGGAACCAAAAAATGTGAAGAAGCTACAGCTAAATGGAGAGAGAGTTTCCAAATTCTTCTTGGAAAGACAAAGAGAGGAGTGACAGATTTCCTCCTCGTCTCTGGGTACACGCAGCCATTATTTCGTTGAATATTTGATGCTCTTGCCTTGAACAGGTGTTCACAGAGAATATAAATAAACAGACCATTATCATGATAATAATAGCTTATATAACAACATCCATTAAAGAGAATGACATAGAGTAATTCTATAAAGAAGCTCACAGAGATGAAGTTGACATCTATCTTGTCACTCAGTAACACGAATGTGAAGGTATGTATTGGAAAGGATGATAAAAATTATATTGGGAAATATGAGTTGAAATCAAGATATTAAATAAACAAGACTTCTAAATTATTTAGAAGCCTGATAGGCCTTGTACACATCAAGCACAAAAACCATAAAAAATCAATTTACTGTTTATCATTTCCAGATGGGCAATAACTCTTTACAGAGAGTAATCATTTCAGAATCAATTGTTTGTGTATAGTCATGTCACTAAATTGTTAGAGTAGAGGTCAAAGTAAATTCCAAATTAGGGAAAAAAAAGAAAAGGATAAAGATAAAAAGATAACCTTGAATTTACAGCAGCTCCCACCTAACCTTTTTAGGTGATGGCAACTCCAGGAAGTTGGAACTGGACAAAAGTAAAAGCATTAACTCAGATTTAGCTGGTACAGAACAGTTGCCACAAGGAGGCCCAAGTAGCCCAGAAAATGCCAAACCCAGCAAACAAACCCAGTCAGCAAACCCAGAAAGACAGTGAAGTAGAGGACAGTACCAGTTTAGAGTACAAGCTCATCTGCATAACCATATAGAAGAGGAAAACAAAAGGATTCAGAAGTTTACTTCGTAAAGGAGTGAAAAGCAGTTGAGAAAAGAGGGCTAAAGAGACCTTGGAACTAAACCAAGTGATATACATACATACATACATACATACATACACACACACAGAAACACACATATATGTATTTTTAGATTAAATCAGTATGAAACAACAAGGATATATAAATCTGGAACATATTGAGTGGCATTTTTATAGTGACTATTCTCGTTATCAGTCACTGGCAGGAAAATCACTGGACCTGACTGAATAAAAACATAATAAATCCATATTGTAAACCATACAATTTCAGAAACATTTGTGATCTATCCTCAAGATAGCTCAAAGAAGGGAAGATTCCAAAAGAATGCTGTGTTTACCCCCACCCAACTTTCCAAAAAAAGGTAACTACCAACTCATACACCTGCATGCAATCATACAATCATCTCTATAAGATCTTTATGTCAAATGTCTCTGCAAGCTTCACATGCATTTTTTATGAAAATGTGAGAGGAGGTAAGACGAGCTTTGTTGGCAGTTTCTACATGAAACCACACCTTTAGGATCAGACAGTTCACTAAGGGATGTAGAAAATACAGATCCTACTGTGTTTATGCTTCAGTGATTTTAAAATGGTATTTAACTCAGTAGGAAAAACAAAATGTAGCCTTGAAAAGTGTCTGCATACACTAAGGTTATAGAACTATGATATACATGACTGTAAATCATTCAGTGACCTGCTAAATGTTGACATCAAGTGAGAAGTAAAACAACTATATATATGTATGTGTGTGTGTGTTTGTGTGTGTGTGTGTGTGTGTGTGTGTGTGGTGTGTGTGTGTGTGTGTGTGTGTGTGTGTATATATATATATATATACATATATATATACATACATATATATATATATATATATATATATATATATATATATGAAAACCAGAAATGTTGACTGGTGTCATGGAAAGTGCTTTGCATAAAAAAATGGAAGCTTCTCTAGAGCTTTTGAGGTTATACAAATGTGCTTTTTCATAACGGCCAATGTAATAATTGTATGAGGCCCAAGAATATTAGTCTCTGGAGTGAAAACCACTGCATTGTGAAAGAAATTTGACAAATGATCTAAAGTAGGTTAAAAGTAATATTGTTTACACTAGCTGGGCAAGTGGCATGTCAAATTAGTTTTTAGTACATAGCTTTTCAATAGATAATACATATAAATGAGGAGTAAGGCCCAGAAATGAGTATTAGATCAGACTGAAGAGCGTTTGGGAAATATGTCTTACTTTGAAAGATCCCAGACTGCTCATTGCTATAAAATCTTTCTTGAATATTATCCCAATAATCATGCTATGTGGCTTAAAATCTTAATGTGTGTATGTGTGTGTGTGTGTGTGTGTGTGTGTGTGTGTGTGTGTATTTCAGATGAGTTTAAAATTATAGGTAATTGGAAAGGCATTGGAAAAATGAACACTGGCCATGAGTAGGCAGCTACCTATAACTTGCTGGACATAAATTCAGCATAAGTAGGATATTACCTACACTTTGCTTATGAATAGTTGTGTAAAACAAAAGTCAGCATATTACTGCCTTATAGTGTGAGTCATTGGGTCAAATCCAGCCCATCTTGTTTTTGTACAGTCCACAAGTTAAGAATGTTTTTTACATTTTAAAATAAAGTTTTACTGTATTCAAAAATGTAAAAACCATTTTAGCTTGCAGGCTGTACAAAAAAACCCAAAACAAAACAACAGGTGGTGTACCAGATTTTGTCCTTGAGTGGTAATTAGCTGACCCCTGGCATAAAATATATTTTCAAGGATATTAATGTTTGTTTGTGCAAGTGGTTTGTTCAATCAGTACTAAAATTGGGTACCACTTGTTTGGCACTCACTTTACTTGGATGTGTGTATGATTTCTATCCAACTAGATTGTTTTAATTAGATCTGTCCAACAATACAGATCCTTAATAAAGAATGTGTTTCCTGTCATTGGGAGGTAGAAAATTATTTACAGGGATGTTGTAGGAGAGATTTTTTCCATTTGGGGGTGAATTGTTCTGTGTCCTTCACTTGTCCCTTGCATATTTAAGAATGTATGAATCTGAGCTTCTTAAATTAGAGCCTTTGTTTTCATATCCTAATAGTGAATGGAATAGTGGAGTGATGGTATTTGTGACTTTGTGAAAGTGGTTCATACTCTGAGCATCTTCCAGAGAATTTGGGTTTCCATATTCCTTTACCCCTGCCACAAGGTAGATAGCAAAAACTTTCATCTTGCTGGGGGTTGTGGCTGCACTGGAAGGGCAGGGATGGACCTGGGGGTAGTGAAAAAGGTACACTTTTATATGGTTTATCTTCCCCCAAAGCCTATTCAGACAGCACTTCTCTCTCATCACACGTACCCATTTCTCCATCTGCAGTTGAATAAGGAAGAAAAGAGGAGAAAGAAGATAAATTTGAGTGAGGAAAGAAAGTGGCTAGGTTTACTAGACACTCCTGAATAAAGAAATATAACATTTTTTCCTCCTGACACAGAACCAGAGTAGCTCTGGTGACTGGCCTCTTTACTTGACCCAGAGAAGAAGAAATCTGAGAAATAAATAAAGTGGAAAAGACTCTTATTCCAAGTAAATCCCTTGGGGTGTTAAGATGGGGTGGTGAGAAAATGAAGTAGAAGGCTCTTCAACAGGAAAAAAACAAAAGAGCCCCCAGGCTTCCCAGACAAGAGATCTTTATTTCCTGAAAGTTTTAATGCCTTTCCTACAACTTCCTTGATATAGTGGGCCCATCCAGCCAAAGAACTATTTATTTTGAATGCCCTTTACTTCCTACTTGAAGTTCTCTTTTGTAAATCGTTAGAAACATTTTCAATATTGGCAGCATCCATCTCTCATTCCTGCCAAATTAGTTGTGTCTCTTCAATGAGCTATTTGCTTTCAATGGTACTGAGTTCTGGATCACTACTTTATAATCCTATTCTGAGCTGTCTTTTTAGAGCACCAGTTTTGATACAGTAATGAAAGAACCTGCAGCTTCAAAGAACTGTGGGTTATTTCGAAGGGAGAGCTGGGAAGGAAATCAGTTAATCGCATGCTGTCAGAGTGGTTTTAGGTGACTTTGTACTTTTTTTTTTTCAGTTTTGTAATCACCTAAACTATAGACATTTCAGGCATGGAATTTCAATGGCAACAACAACTACCACCACAAAACCAGGCTTTGCAAATTTTAGGGATGACTCATCTGTGAAGATGGCATTGTATTGATGATACAATGAAAGGGGGAGAGAGAGAGAGAGACAGAGACAGAGACAGATCCATGGTAGCTTCTCTCTTTGTATTCCTGATCTTGAAGAAAATTATAACTTGTTTGTTACAGAAGTTGAACATCTAATGTACTGGCGCACCTGTTAGTTCCTCTGAATTAAACAGAAAAGCGCTTTCCCTTTCCTGTGATTGCTTTGAAGGTGAAATATTTTCTGTAATCTGGTGAACTGGGATTTGCTGTTGTTACAACTGTGTATTCATTCGTATTGTAGCGTATCTGTTGTCTTGAATCATTTATTCCTTCCAAAAAAAAAAAACCAAATACCATCCATTCGTACTCTTATTTCAGCACTGTTAGAATATGTGTTTGTCTTGGTTGAGACTTTCCAAGGTAATATCATTGTAATTCTCTTTTTTGCCATAGAGATCATGAACCAAGTGGCTCCTGCTAGAAAGCTAGAGGAGGTCCTTCATCTAGCAGAGCTCTGCATAGAGGTATTACAGCAAAATGAAGAGCATCATTCAGAGGTGAGGAAAATGGTTTTTAATGTAGAATAATGCCCTAGGTACTTCTCTTCCCTTTAATGGGAGCAACACTAAAGAGCAGGTTAGCCATGATCCTTGATGCATATCAGGCCACTCACCTTCAGGGAAGGAAGTTTATGTAAAATGAACAGAAATCAAATTATACTTGCATTCCCTTGATGGAATTCTTGGTTCAGAAATAGAAATCCAAAGGCATAAAAAGAGAGAGGTTGGTGATAGTACCCGAAGGTGATGAAATGAAAGCATGTGTAGTTTTAAAGCAGTTCAATTCAAGAAAATATGTACAGATATTGAGTATCTGCCATGTACAGGGGAATGAGCAGGTTGCTTTGAGGGGAAAGAATGAAGAATCACACAAGGGATCATAGGTTTAGAGCTTGAAGGGAACTTAGAGATCATCCAGGGGAACCCCTTTATTTCACAAATTAAGAAACTGAGGCTCAGCTAGTAAGTGTTTGAGGCAGGATTCACAAATCCAAGCCTTCTTGACTCCGTGTCTAGCACTGTATCCACTATGTCCCAATGCCTCCCATAGCCCTCTTGGAGCTTGGGGTCAAGTGGGAAAAGTAAGACTTGTACACAGATAGCTATAAATAAAAGACATAATGTACAAGTCCATTGAGATGTACAGAGTTATGACAGTACAGAGAAGAAAGAGAGCAATTCTGGCTTGGGAGATAGTCATAATAGCTGACATCTCTGTAGTGCTTTAAGGGTTGTTTGTGTAGTATCTAATCAGAAATTTGCTAGAAACTTCCAAGTAATAGACGCATTTCAAATTTCTACCCTTTTTATTCAAGTTTCTCAAATCTTTAAATTCAGTTAACGTAGATAAAGCACTTTGCTAACCTTAAAGCCTATATAATTGCTAGCTATATATATATATATATATATATATATATATATATATATATATGTATATATATATATATATATATATAATGTGTGTGTATAAGTTTTCACTGTTTTAATTGATAAAAACAATGGTTTTCAGATGCTAATGTCAAATTAAGATTATCTGAACATGTTAAAAGCAATATTGATTCTCCTGTTTTAAACCCTAAAAATGACTCCACATAAGATCAGGAGTTTTATTCACAATAATGAAAGAAGTTTCTTTTTTTTTCTTTTTTACTGAAGGAGGGAAGAGGACGCTCTCTTTACATAAGGCATAATAAAATTGAGTACTATAGAATCAATTTGGTTGGTTATTGAGGAACCACAAGAAGTAAGCAGGGATATACAAGAACAGACATATATGTGTGTGTGTGTGTGTGTGTGTGTGTGTGTGTGTGTGTGTATGTATATATAATTTATAGGGTATTTACATTTAATGAAACCTTGCTCTCAAAAGATGTAAGAAACTACAGGAAGTACATTTTAAATAACTCCTTGAATAAAAATATCCATGAAACCATACCATGGTTAAACGAAGATTTATTGTATCTGGTTATAAATATGATCATTCAAAACATCTGCTTTTTGCTCACACTGTGGAATCTAGTTTTTACCTTGCATCTGTCATGTGTGAACTTGTTATGGATATTTTATTTTAAACTGAAGAAACAGCTGCTTCAATAATTTGAGATGAATTCCCAGGAGGCTCTATTCTACACTAGTATCACTGCTGTGTTACACTGCAAATGATTATTTGATAAAATAGATGTGTTTTCTCTTTGTCTTTTGTTGCAAAGCATTATCATCAAAGTATTAGGCTTTTACAAATTAAAAAAACCAACTAATTCTGATTGGATACCAAAATACAGTGTACTTTTCTGTAAAAGAAATAGATTCTTTATGGTCCGGATGGTTTGTTCTTTACTAGCACCAATAAGGAAAATGGTAATTATGCAAGGTTCAAACTCATTACTCTATTATGATCCTCATTTCCTACCATTTAAAGGTAATTATTAAATGTTACATACTCATTGCAATTACAATTAAAATTTGCAGGAAAACTAATATACATATTAAAATGTAATGGGTACCAACAAAACAAAAAGCTGATATTATTTTCCAACCTTCGAAAAAAATGGAAGTTTATTGAATACAGGCCACCTTTACACAAGACAATCACTGTACAGCAACTAGAGACAGGAAACACAGATTTCATAATAAAATTACGACAATGAACTCTTGTTACATTTTTTAATATTTTAATGTTTTCCCATTCTACAATGCTTTCAAATCCTTGGATTCCCTCAGGGAAGAGAGGTATGTGTCCCATCTCACACAAAATAACATTGTTTTTGCCTATTTTTCTGGTATAGATCTCTTTATTTGATGACACTGTATTGTAAAAAAAAGAAATTCTCATTATTTCTCATTTTTAAAGATATTTTTATCCTCCTTGAAATTCAAGAGTAGGAGTCATTCTCTAATTAGGCTAGGTGTTGTAGTGCTGTATGGGTGTGTGTTACCAGTGATTAATTACATATCACCAATATTCCTGTTACCCATCTCAGGGAATCAATATGTCTTGGGGATTTTTTCATTCACAGACAAATCTGACTTTCTCTAGACATTTATGGAGAGTGAATTTTCTGGTTTGCTATGTTAATGTCAAAGTGAATCAGTGTTCTGGTTCTCTGGTCTAATATTTATTTTGCTGTATGTTCAAACCAGAGTTTCCTGACTCCTTGAAAGAGTGCCCAGATCAACTCCCTTGGTAGAGGTTAATCTATCTGCCTCCAAGAGACCTTCAAGTGGCTCGTATGTCAGGTCCTTTTATTTCCATTTTACTTCTGTTCACAGTGGCAGTTTACTTTTCGAGGCTAAAAGGTTGCTTCTGTCCTTCGACACATTTTCAGATAAGCAGGTTACTTCTCCTTCAGATCTTTGACAGCAACTTTTCTTCTAAGACTTTTCTCCCTCACTCTGAAGTCCTCTTGACCTCCTCTCTCAGTCCTGCTTCAGAATTCCTCCTTCTTCTTCTTAGGAAGGTTGGATAATCTTTTCTGGTGAACCTCAAGACTAAATATCCTCTCACAATAACTGACCTCTTAGACATCTATTGAGAAGAATTTTTGGTTGAACCACTAAGTCCATCCAACTACAAGGTGTCATAATTGTCATGGTTCCAGAGGAACTAGATGCTCGTGCTCCAATTATACTCTCTAGTAAACTCTTTCAGCTCTATAGTCTGACTATGTAGAACTTAGGGGTTGTAGATGCCATCTAATAGATGAGGAAAGCAAGCCCTGGTAAAGTGACTTGCTCAAGGACACACTGCTAATTAGTGGCAGAATCAGGACTAAAATCCAGGAACCTATTCATGATCCAGGGCACTCTCCATTATACCAATCAATTCACTTCAACAAGCTATTACTAAGCAGCTATTACGTGCAAGGCCCTGTTCTAGGAATTTTGTTGTTCAGTTGTTTAAGTTGTATCTGACTCTTTGTGGCCCCATTTGGGATTTTCTTGGCAAAGATACTGGAGTGGTTTGCTGTTTTCTTCTCTAGCTCATTTGACAGATGAAGAACTGAGGCAGAGTTAAGTAACTCGCCCAGGATCATACAGCTCATAAGTATCTAAAGCCAGATTTGAACGCAGAAAGATGAGTCTTCCTGACTTTAGGTCTGATGCTGTATGTACTCTACCATCTAACTGTGCTAGGAGTACAAAGATAAAAGGTACTCCCACCCTCAAGCAGCTTACATTTATTGATGGATAAAAACAGGTAAACAGAAATACAATAGAGCTGATAAGGAAAGGGACTAGAGAAGGGTATGGTTCTGCAATAGTCATGACCAAAGTTTGGGAAGAAGTAGCAGGGGAAGGAGATGCTGCCTTAGCAGAAAGCAATTCTGAATCACTATAGGATTAGAGGAGTGCCAGTTGGTTGGGGCCAGATCCTCCAGGATCCTACAATGGCACTGGTTTGATGTTATTCTCTAGATACTGCATAGTTGGGGCCAATAGTCTGAATCAATAAATACCTGGGTGATAGTATGCTCTAAGGATAGACTAAATTCACACAAAACTCCTCATCCCGTGATGGTAGAGAGTGGAGGTATGTATATCCAGGAGATATCCCACATATGGAACATCAGCTCAGTTCTCTGACTGGTCTTTGAGACCTTGGTCATTTTTGGACGTTTAATATGGTGTTTGAGGCCCTAGCTGGGATGGTGCTAGGCCTTATATTTACAGAGGACAAGAATTTGGTGTATGTTTCTTCTTTCTTCCCTTCCTCCCTCCCTTTCTTCTTCCTTTCATTTCACTTCTTCCTTCCCACCATCACTGTGCAACAAGTGAGAGGTTGCTGCCATACAGTCAACACATTGAAGTCTATTTTGTATTTGTTTATGTTTTATAGATAACTATGGTTAAAAATAACTTAATCATTTAGTGTCCAAACTAATGATCATGAGCTTCTCTCATGACTGGCCTTCTGAGACAATATATTTGGTTACCTGGACAATGGATAAGGAAGGCCTTTCCAGCTTGGCAGAGGTCATCAGAACTTACATCCCACTGGTATAGCTTTGACGAAAATGGATTGACCTCCTATCTGACAAAGCTTCACAGTAGGATTTTTTTTGTAGGCTTTTCCTAATACTTTATTAAATTTTAGAGGAAAAACTCAGAATCTGGCCAGTCAGAAGCTGTCAGAAATTTATATTCCTTGTAGTCTCACTCTCCTTGGAGACTGCTATGAGCATGAACCTTAAAAAAGTATACAAGGAATTGATGTTATCTAAGTGTCCTAGAACATCATGATTGTTTTCTTAATTTTAGCTTGTTTTAGTGGTAGGTACTATGTTATAACTGATGTATAACTTTGGAAAAAATTTCTTTGAAGTAACAGGATATTATTTAATCAACCAATAAGCATTTGTTAAGCAAATACTATATCCCAGACACTGTGTTCTGTCTCTCATCACTCACTATGAGGATTCTGAGAGTCCTTTCTTATTTACCATCAATATGCCTTGAAAAGAGAGCAAAAATATGGGATGCAAATCTTGCTTGCTGCTGCATTCCTCAAGTTTCCTTTTTGTATTTCATATCCATTCTAAGAGACATAGTATCTAGCAAGAATTTTTAAAGTAAGCTTGCACTGAAAATTTTCTCTCCATACAAATACTGATCCCAATTTCTTTTAATCACCAATGCTCAGGGGCCTATAGTTACTATGAATTAACTGTTTTACAGCAAAATCTTAGAAGTTTGCATTGAACAGTTCATTTTCTTAAAAGCAGAAGTTCAATAGGTTTTTCAGGGATAAGCCTTAGGTTCCTAGCATGGTACTGAAAGTAAACGTGGAACTTCCTAACTTTAAAAGGCTTTCTCTCAAAAAATTAATTACAACAAAGATTAAAATAGCTGGTATTTCCAAACTGAGGTATGTTATTTTTCATTGTGTAAAGCTATTATGAAACTGACATTTTCTTAAAAGTGTGAATGAGGGAAAATGTTCTCCTACTTTTTCTTCTCTTGAAAATATAACAAAGACAGCTAACTATGTTTTGGAAAAAAATTTTAAAGATCCAGCCAAGGGAACTTTCTAAAATTAAATATTAATTTTTAGATTTCAGAGATAATGTTTATTTTTCATACTGTGATAAACCATTGTTTCTGGTTTTCTTTTTCTTTTATTATTCCTATGAAATTTCTTTTTTTTCTTGAAAAAAGTTTTCATTTTATTTAAGAACGTTCACAATATCATTAAGTGTAGGCACCGGCATATCTTTATGTTTCTAACAAATCTTCTTTCTTTATTCTTTGCTAGGCATTTGCTTGGTGGCCAGATCTGTTGGCCGAACATGCAGAGAAATTTTGGTCATTATTTACTGTGGACATGGATTCAGCACTAGAGGCTCAGCCACAAGATTCTTGGGATAGTTTTCCACTTTTCCAACTGCTAAATAACTTCCTAAGAAATGACAGTAAGAGTTTGGATCCATTAATGTGGGTGTGGGTGAGGGTGTGAGTATAGGCATGGGTGTGATTAATGGATACATGTGTATGGAGAGCTGTAGTATGACTCTCCCAGGACGAATATGTTATGTATCTTTCATCCTCACCATGCAACCAGGATTTCCTAGGTCCCAGAGCTAACCCTTCTTACCATCTTATGCTGGTCACCATGATATCTTCATTACATCACTTATTTCTTCCCCTCATCCATCTGTACGGTACTCCTTGTCAACTTTTCACATGGCAACAGTCAAGATTATGGTAGTAAATCTTTAACAACCACTTCTCTGAAAATCACTTTGAAGTTTAATTTAAATTCTGAACGTTTTCTCCATCAGTTTCTTAAGTCTGGACAATCAGTAAAACAACAAATCAGGCTCTGATATATAGGATTCACTGATTTCCCAAGTGTAAATGCTCACACTGAAAATTTAATAATTGTCTCTAGCTCTAACAGGGGTGGCTCTAACACACCCCTGGAAACAGTCCTCACTTTTCTCCAAGAAAACTCTTTTTTTTTCTTTTTTGGGCTAGGCAGTGGGGTTAAGTGACTTGCTCTCCATCACACAGCTAGTAAGTGTTATGAGTCTGAGGCCAGATTTGAACTCAGGTCCTCCTGACTCCAGGGCCAGTGCTCTATCCGCTGCACCACCTAGCCACCCCGTCAGAAAAACTCTTAAGTTCACTTGTACAAGGAACTAGCAAATATTTGTGTCTGTGGAGGAAAATTTAGAAATTTACTTTTTTTCTAGAACTCTTTCACTGCCAGGATACCTCTGAAACTGAACCAGTAAAATATTATATTTCAATATTAAACTATTATCAAGGTTTCTAATTTCATAGAGTCTCAGAGTTGGAAAGGAACTTAGAGGTTACTCCTTTTAACTCCTTGTCCAATGTAGGAATCCTGACAACAACGCATCTAACAGATGGGCTTCCAGCATCTGCTTGAACACTTCCAGTGCCAAGGAGGCGATTGCTTTCTAAGGCAGCCCACTCCATTGCTGACTCCTCTTAGTAAGAAGTCCTTCTGCATATCAGACTGAAATCTATAGCTCTGTAAGATCCACCCTACTGGGCCTAGTGCAGTCCTATCGAGAAGCACAAAATAAATTTACTCCTTCCCTCCCATAGCAGTCCTTCAAATACTTCAAGACCCTGATTACATCTTAGACAAATTAGCATTTCTAGTTCCTACAACTGATACTCAAAGGAGATAGTTTCTAGATTCCTTCCCATTGTCTTAGGAGAATAAAATCATAGCTCTAAAGTTGAAAAGGACCACAGAGGCCATGTAGTCCAATCTCCTTATTTGTTTGTTGAGGAAAATTTTAAAAAGGAAGGTTTAAGCAATCTCTGCAAGGTCACACAGTTACTCAGTATCAGGGATGAAATCTAGTAAACTCAGGTTCTCTGACACTATCAGTGTAGCACACTGCTTTCTTAGGCAAAATGGTGATTTAGCTGTGATCTTTTTAATTTAATGTTCCAGGAGCTGAATATCACACCCTTGGTGTAGTCTAACCAAGAGAGTACAACAGAATTATTGCTTGACTTCTGCCCTCCTCATAATGCAACATAGGATTGCATTTATTTTTTGTTTGTTTGTTTTTCTTTACGATTAGTATTTATTGAGCTTGTGATTATTTATTTAACACCCCTGACTTCTTTTCATGGAACCTGCTAGAAAAGTATGTCTGCCTCATCTTGGATTTTTAAATTTTTGAAACTTTACACATATCCTTGTGTCATTTTATCTTGTTTATTTGAAGTCATTATTTTAGCCTGTGGAGATCATTTAAAATACTGATTATCTTATTTACTCCCAACTTTCAGGAAGGTCTTATTATAAAGCCAGTATTTTTTTAATTAATTAATTAATTTAATTTTAGTTTTCAGCATGCACTTCCATAAGATTTTGATTTCTAAATTTTCTCCCCCTTCCTCCCTCCCCAAGGTGGCGTTCAGTCTGATATAGGCTATACATATACATTCATATTAAACATTTTCACATTAGTCATGTTGTAAAGAAGAATTAGAACTAATGGAAGAAACCACAAGAAAGAAGATACAAACAAAAAAAAATAAACAGAGAGAGAAGATAGTATGCTTTGATCTGCGTTTAAACTTCGTAGCTCTTTTTCTGGATGTGGATGGCATTTTCCATCATGAGTCTTTTGGAGTTGTCTTAGATTCTTGCATTTCTGAGAAGAGCTAAGTCAATCAAAGTCAGTCATCGCATAGTGTGGCTGTTACTGTGTATGTTCTCCTGGTTCTGCTTATTTCACTCTGCATCAGTTCATGTAAGTCTTTCCAGGATTTTCTGATGTCAGCCTGCTTATCATTTCTTATACCACAATAGTATTCCATTACATTCATATGCCACAACTTGTTCAGCCATTCCCCAATTGATGGGCATCTCCTCAATTTCCAATTCTTGGCCACCACAAAAAGAGCTGCTATAAATATTTTTGTACACGTAGGTCCTTTACCCATTTTTATGATCTCTTTGGGATACAAACCTAGAAGTGATATTAAAGCCAGTATATTATACCATAATCTACATTGTTGATACCATGGCAAAGTTATTTTCCAGATAGATGCATAGGCCCCTTTCAATTGCCCATATGTGAATTAGCTGACATAAACTTTTGAATTCCTGTGTTGACTTTCCCTACCATTTAATAAATTTCTCTACTATTTTACTCACCCACCAGCAGCCAGCAAGTCATCAAGCCAAGGCAACAACCATGGATTCATGCTTAATAGGCGCCATAGAAAGAAAGGCAAAAAGACAATCCCTGTCCTCAAGGAGCTTACATTCTAACAAGGGAGAATATATGTATTTATCTAAGTGCATACAAATTAGATAGTTGATGGAAGGCCCTTTAAGGGAGTGAGGGGAAAGGGGAAGATACTAAGAGCAAAGGACCAAGAAAGACTTCCTTTTCAGCCAATATGTGCTCATTGAACACAAACAATTTATCTTAATAAAAGTACAATTAAGAAGGTAAACCTGTTGAGCAAAAAACAAAACAAAACAAAGCAAAAACACAAACCCAACCTTCTTTTCCAAAATAAAAACATTATGTTTAATACTGCTCTCCTCAGTTATTAGGCATGATCAAAAAAAGTTGGCCATAGTTCGGTTCATCTTTGGGCAGCTTTACAGTTCTTGCCGAATTAATCATAATGATCAAATATTTTAGAAGAGATGAATTATTCATTTTGCTTGTCTAACATGTTAAGATGTAAAGTTTTTTGGTTTGTTTGATTTTTTTCTGTAAAATACAGAAAATATGTCTCACCACCAGAATGATGAATTTCTTGACTGTAGCAACTCTCAAAAATTAAGTAAGTGAAAGAAATTTCAGTCCTCATCCATGAAGGGAGCACAGAGTCCACACAATCACAGATCCTTTGAATATTGAAGGATGCAATAAATGTATAACGTTTTTTCATTCATTGACTTTTGGCATTTGGCTTTTTGTGTAAGAAATAATGGCATTATGTTCTCTTTACAGATTTTTTTGGGAAACATTCACTAGAACTTTAGAGAATTATTTTATGGGGGTTTTTTTGTAGCAAGTGTTGCAGTTTAATTATAACTGGAAGATGTGAAACAAAAAGAATGTTGAAATGGCAAAAGCATAAAAAATAAGGTTTCCAGTGAAACAGACATTAAATAGCATGCTAATTTTCTAATTTTTCTGAATATTCTTACCATAACACATTAAATTCCTCTGATATTAACTACAAAATACATAGGATAAGGAATTTCAGATATATTTAATCCACTTTTAGTTAAACTACAAAAGCAAAAGCAAATCACTTATTCCTAGTCTGGATTTTTAGTTTCATCAGTTTTTGATGTGTCTAGATTTTGGCTGTGATTTTTTAAAATGATTACCATATTTTAAAAAAACATCAAGTATTTCTGAGAAAAGCAATTCAAGTAAATGGAAAAGTTCCCCTGTGTCATAATTTCCTTTAAGAACTGGGTATAGTTTAGGGAATTAGAAATGGAATGCAGGCTTTTATCTCAAGTTTACAAATTACAACCAAAGGTTATGACCAATAAATGCATATTTATGAGTTTTTAGCCATATATGTATGTTATTTAAAATTAGTGTTGATGTCAACAATAATTATCACATGCTCTTATCAATGTGTAAATATTATATGTTTATTATAATCAGCTATGTTGTTGGCTATTATTTAATTTCTTAATCACCCACGTGTTTTTATAAATTCAATTCCATTCCAAAAGCCAATGTTTCCAATAACAAAAAGTTCTGTATCCTATGGAAGACATTCAGAAAAACTCTAGAATTTTTATATGTTTAACCCTTAAAGGTAATACCTACAAATTAGTACCAAGGTATGGAAATTTCCATCATATTGACTTAATTGAAAGTATCATTGATAAAGTTCAAACTCTATTGTTAGGTGAACAAAAGAAAACTAATATTACATTTTAAGTAGGACAAAAAGGAATCACTTGCCAATTGGGCTTACAAAGTTGCCCTGCAAACACCTAGAGTTCTTAATCGTTTGTGCTGAATATTGTTAATTCAACAAAGACAATATTATAGATTTCTCTCTTATCTCTTAAGAATGGCATTATACTGGGTTTTCAGGCTAATGGTGAATTAGATAATCCTAATTTCACCCCAAAAAGAATGTCAGAGCCTATCTTTGCTTTTCCACCATCTTCCCTCAATCTACTCCTTTCTCCTCCTCTCCCCTCCCTCCCATAAAGAGATAATTAGATGGGTAAATCACTTTCCATTTATAAACACGGTCCAACTAGTAAAGATGTTAGGTTCCTAGTCCTGTCATTTAAATGTAACTTAGAATATTTAGCTCTCAGTGAAAGACAATTTCAATTCTATTATGATTTGTCATCAAGCCTCTGAGACAGAGCTTTCATTGAGTGTCATAATTATTGCCAATTGATGAGTGCTGG